CAGCTCCTCAATGACATGAATCAGTTTTCTGCCATCCAGCAGCTCTCCTGTGCCGTTACTGATCACAGGACCACATTAACCCTGAGCAGCAGTGTTCTCCTTCCTCCGTCTGCACCTCTTTTTAAAGTGCATCCAGCTCTAGTGGGAGAACAACGCAGGCCTCCGCCTCCCCGTTGCCATGGTGACTGGTGGACTCGGGGCTCCATGGGTGCTGGCTTTCTACAGGTGTGCTGCAGGCGCTGAACTCCAGGTGAAGCTACTCCCAGCTGATCAAACGAACTCACAGCCGCTGGTCTGGACCCGGACACGCAGAGTTTCCTGTCTCAGAGTGGATCAGCTCAGAGTTCAGGATCAGACTCAGAGTTCAGGATCAGGGTTAGGGTTCAGGATCAGACTCAGAGTCTGTTGAAGCTGCTTCGTGAGCCCTGAACATGCTTAAGCAGGTTTAATGCAGGGCCTTTGTTCTGTACTGCCCTCCAGGGGCAAAATACAGCTTACATGTGCTGGTCATATAATTAGAATATGATGAAAAAGTTTATTTATTTCAGTCATTCCATTCAAAAAGTGACACTTGTATATTATATCCATTCATTACACACAGACTGATATACTTCAAATGTTTATTTCTGTTAATTTTGATGATTGTACCTGAATACTGATGAAAATCCCAAATTCACTAGAAAATTAGAATATTACTGAAGACCGATACAAAAAAGGATTTCTAGAAAAGTTGGCCAACTGAAAAGTATGAGCATGTAGAGCACTCAGTACTTAGTTGAATGATTGCAGCAACGCGGCGTGGCATGGAGTCCATCAGTCTGCTCAGGTGTTCTGAGAGCCCAGGTAGCTCTGATAGTGGCCTTCAGCTCTACTGCATCATTGGATCTGGCGTATCACATCTTCCTCTTCACAGAACCCCATAGATTTCCTATGGAGTTAAGGTCAGGCCAGTTTGCTGGCCAACTAAGAACAGGGACACCACGGTCCTTAAACCAGGTACTGGTAGCTTTGGCACTGTGTGCAGGTGCCAAGTCCTGCTGGACAATAAAATCTGCATCTCCATGAAGCTGGTCAGCAGCAGGAAGCATGAAGTCTTCTGAAACTTCCTGGTAGACGGCTGCATTGACCTTGAACCTAAGAAAACCCAGTGGACCAGCACCAGCAGATGACTTGGAACCCAAACCATCACTGACTGTGGAAACTTCACACTCGACCTCCAGCAACGTGGTTCTGTGCCTCTCGTCTCTTCCTCCAGACTCTGGACCTTGATTTCCAAAGTGCACCATTTACTTTCATCAGAGAACAGAACTTTGGACCAGTCAGCACCAGTCCAGTCCTTTGTGTCTTCAGCCCAGGTTCTGACGCTGTCTCTGGTTCAGGAGTGGCTCGACACAAGGATGCGACAGCTGAAACCCGGTCCTGCATACGTCTGTGTGGTGGTTCTGGAAGTCCTGACTCCAGCTGCAGTCCACTCTTGAATGGGTTTCGTTTCCTGTCCAGGGTGCAGTGATCCCTGTTGCTTGTACACTTGTTTCTACCGGATCTTGTCCTTCCTGTCGCCTCTCTGTTGATGTGCTTGGATCAGAGCTCTGTGAACAGCCAGCCTCTGCAGCAACGACCTTTTGTGTCTCGCTCTCCTTGTGCAAAGTGTCGGTGGTCGTCTTTTGGACAACTGTCTGGTCAGCAGTCTTCTCCATGATTGTGAGGCTTACACAACTAGACTGAGGGACCATTTAAAGGCCTTTGCAGGTGTTTTGAGCTAATTAGCTGATCAGACTGTGGTGTCTTCAATATTGAACCTTTCCACAATATTCTAATTTTCTGAGATACTGAATTTGGGATTTTCATCAGTATTCAGTTATAATCATCAAAATGAAGAGAAATAAACATTTGAAGTATATCAGTCTGTGTGTAATGAATGAATATAATAAACAAGTGTCACTTTTTGAATGGAATGACTGAAACAAACTTTTTCATGATATTCTAATTATATGACTCGTATATATCGCTAAAAAAACCAACTGATGACCACACAGCCATAGAAATATAAAGAGAGTTCCCTTCTCATCCTCCTACTTTTCCCTTCAAGCTCAGGTCGTCTGCCAGACGTAGAGGTTCTGTCGGGATCTTTGCTGTTTCTGGGCCTGTGCTGCTCTGGACAGAGACCTCAGAAGTTGTTCCTGGGATCTGCTGGAGCTCCTCCAGTTTGTGGGTCCGTGCTCCCAGTGCTGCCACTTGGTTATGCTCCATGAACACTTTTCCTGCCAGCATCGTACACCCCACTACTACCTGCTGGACTGTCTCAGAAGCCCCTTTACACAGCCTGCACTGTGGGTCCTGTCCAGTGTGGTAGACTCCTGCCTCCATGGATCTGGTGCTGAGGGCCTGTTCTTGTGCAGCCATGACCAGGGCCCCTGTGCTGTCCTTCAGTCCAGCCCTTTGTAGCCACTGGTAGGACTTCCTCTTTCTGGCGGTGGTACATGCTGTGGAGGGGCTTGTCTTGGATCCGTGTGGGCGGCATCGGGTCACTGCTGTGGTCAGTGCAGGCTGCACAGGGTGACAGTTCTGTCGACCAGTAGCTGGTGCCTGGCTCCTCTGGTGTTGCTGCCATTCCCTTCTGGACGCTGTTCATGTATTGATATTCAGTCGCTATGAAGCCTGACAGCTTCCACATATATGTTTATCTATGTATAAATGAGCTACAACAATGAAATGGGTCAGCTAACTGTGCAGCTAACGGGTCCTCAGCACTGTTCCTTTGCTTTCCTTTTATTTCTGCAGGGTTCTGCCTGGCGCTGGCCTGCCTCCTGTTTCCAGACTCGTGGGAGAGTCCAGAGATGAAAACTCTGTGTGGCGACTCGGTGAGGAAAGAACACCATCAGAGTGCTGTTGAGCCGCTCAGGGATGAATGTTTGTGAGCAGCTGAAGTTGGTGTTCGTACTTACAGCACGTTCTTCATTCAGAAACGTTGAACACACAAAGCTTGTGTTGTTTTGGCAGCAGAACATGTTAAACACACATGTGAGCAGCTGAGAGCTGCTGCTGTCGTGTTTGTGTCTCAGGGTTCATAGAGCTGACCTTCTCTGATGTCTCCAGGTGGGCAGTTTCTCTCCAGGTCACTGTTCGGTGCACTGGGCCTACATCCTGGCCATCCTAGGAGTTCTCGATTATGCCATTTTGGCCACGCTGGCCTTCGTCCTGGCCAACAGACAGGACGCCCTGCTGCCGCCGGACTCCCAGGACGGTAAGTCGTGTGGTGGGTGGCGGACATCAGAACCAACACGCTGAGCTTCACGGCTTAACACCAACTTTGTGTTTGTGCAGTGACCACAGGTCTGCTGATGACCACATGAAGCTCCCGGTGAGTCCCTCCTTCTGTTCAAGACAAAACAATTTTGGTTTTCAGTCTGACTGAAGAAAACATTTCGCGATTTTCATCCATTTGTTTACCGTCGTCACCATAGAAACACAGAAACAGCATTAGAACGCAGCAGACGGATGGAGAATGACTGAAAGCAGGAACTAAAACACAGCAACAGAAAACGGTGAAAGACAATATTTTAAAAAAACTTTACTGAAAGACAGATAAAGCTGCAGGAGACAACAGAGAGCAGCGAGACAGAACAACTGAGCAACAGAAAAGGAAACAGCGACAGAAGCAACAGAAACTGGGAAAATGACAAAGTGACAAAAGTTTCCATGGTGAAGGCGGCGTGCATAGACGCAGCGCCCCCTTCAGGAGACAGCCAGAGTGAACGTTGAGTGTCTTGTCTATCCAGACGTTCATTCTGCAAAACTTACAGCCGGGAGACTTTGCTGAACATCAGGACAGTGAACGGCGCTGGAATCGCAGCGATCGGTTGTGATGTGGACACACTGCACCAACAGTCCGATCGGAGACGACGCCGGCAGTTACCCGAGAGAGAAGGAA